CAAAGTACTAATATTAGTACAACGTGCGGACTCATAACTGATTTTTCTTTTTTAATTAATTTAAGATGGGTCTTCTTGCGTTCCCTGCCTTGTGTTCAGGTTTCCAACGTCATGAGCCAGACGGTGGTGCAAAAGCTGAATGGCCTGCAGGTAATCACGCCACTTTTGAAGTCAAACAAAGTCACCCTGCAGAGGAACGCGGTGGCGTTGATTCGGAACTTCAGCAAGAATCCCAACCTGCAAGGCATCTTGGGTGAGAAATCACATCAATGCCAATTTATCACAATTTCGAAGGATTTCCTACCAAAAAAAAAAAGGATACAACCAAATGCCAAAAAGCCTAATATTCTATTACAAAAAAAAAAAAAAGCTAATATATTTTATGCGGTACAGTGTATTGCATGCGTGTCAGGTACAAAATGCATCAAATAATCTGATTTCTGCAGTGTGTGTTAATTTATTCGAAACAAAATATAGCACTTCTATTGATTTATTAGGTACAAAACGCAGAAAATTGGTCAAATTTCTTTGGGACAAAATGGAACAAATTAGTCAGTTTATTTCACTCAAAATGGAGTGAATTGCTTAAGGATGTTCAACGTTAATCAAACGTCAGTACAACTGGCAGACTTGCCTTGAGTTTTAACTTGACTGTTTTTGTACTTTCTACTGTCTTTATTAATTTATTGTTTTTTGTCGTTTGTTGTGTGAATTATTTTTGCTCCATGTACAGCACTTTGAATGCAGCGGTGGTTGTTTTAAAGTGCTCAATAAATACAGTTGAGTTGAGAAATGTAGTGAGTTTATTTGCTTCAAAATACACAAACTACTTCATTCATTTGGTCCAAAAATGAGCTTATTAGTCAATTGTTTAGGTACTAAATGGAGCAAGGGGGTGATTAGTAGGTACGTTTTAGCTAAAGAGTCAATTAAGTAGAACAAACAAAACTGCTTTACAACTGCATACATATCGAGCGTTTATAATTTGTTCCTCCAAGGTCAGTGAAAAGTTACTCAGGTTTTATAAACTTATATGTGGCTATTAATGAGTGAGTTACGGTTTAATAAAAGTTTTTCCGAGATGTGTTGACGTCAGACATTTTGTTGTCGCAGCTCGCAAGGTGTTGCCTGAGCTACTGGGCATCCTGAGCGCGGGGACCAAGGAGGGCAACGAGTCTGACGACACCCTGGCCATGGCGTGTCAGACGGCCAACTTCCTGGTGGCCAAGGAGCCCGAGACCAGCAAGCGCCTGCTGAACGGCGGCTTGATCAACTCGCTGAAGGAGCTCAGCCAGAACAGGCCAGTAATGTCGCATGCCGATTGTTAGCATCTTAAACGATTCTTAAAATGTGAGAGACCCCACAAATAACAAATACAGTTGAACCTCTTTGCAACGTACCTCGAGGGACATAACGAATCTGTACGTTATAACGGTAGTTCGTCCTAACCGTTTCCAATAAAATGGCCGCCTACCACAAAGTATAATACAGTATGAACATTTATAGATGTAAAAACATGAACATGTAATACAGTATAAACATGTCAATTACAAATATGTGGATACAGTATGAAGAAAAAAATTATTTTATAAGACATGAAGCAAACAGACGGCCCGGTGGACCAGTGGTTAATGCGTCAACCTCACAGTACAGAGGTGCAGGGTTCGATTCTGGCTCTGGCCTCCCTGTGTTGAGTTTGCATGTTCCATCCAGACCTGCGTGGGTTTTCTCCCGGGTACTCCGGTTTCCTCCGACATTCCAAAAAACATGCATGGCAGGTTAATGGAACACTCTAAATTGTCCCGAGGTGTGAGTGTGAGCGCGGATGGCTGTTTGTCTCTGTGTGCCCTGCAATTGGCTGGCAACCGGTTCAGGGTATCCCCCGCCTACTGCCCGAAGACGACTGGGATAGGCTCCAGCACCCCTTGTGAGGATAAAGCAGATCGGAAAATGAATGGATGGATGAAACAAACAACTGTAGCATTCTCACTTGATCTCTGAAAATATTCAGTCAGCAAATGTTACCCGCCATAGGCAACTGCCTGTGCCGCAGACGTCTGGGCGACTCCCTTTCCAAAGTGAGAGACAATTTCAGCCTTCGCAGACAGTGAGATTCGCTTCTGTTTACCAGAGATGTTTTCCGACCACATGCTCAGGACCGCGCCGTGCCTCCGTGAGTTACGGCGCGGGCAGGAAGGACAACAATGTACCAAGTTGATCAGTGGTGTTGCTAAGCAACAGAGGGGAATCCGGCAAAATTATACATTTTGTTTTTAAGCAAGGCCGCCGCGGCAATTAGCTTCCCACGGTTCGTCGTAACGAAGGCCTTTTCACTCTCTTGTGGGAAAAAAATCTGGTCGTTATAAGGAAGTTTGCGTTATAAAGGTATTCGCGGTAAGCAAAATCAGCAAATGGAAAATTAATTTCGTGAAATGGGGACTTTGAAATGTGAACGTTACAGGGGTGAAAACGGGGTACGTTGAAACGAGGTTTGACTGTACAAAGTAAAATTGAATTGACTTACTGCACATATAATGTTTGGTGTCGGGACCTGGTCGATCAGCGAATAGCAAAAATCTACATGTACCTATTGAAATGCTTTCAAATGATCTGGATTGTTATCGGGGTTCTACAGAGCTTGCTAATGAGCTGATCATTTGAATCGGGTGTGTTAGAGGAGGGACACATCAAAAACATGCAGCATAGGGGCCTTCGACAACCAGAGTTGGTGACCCCTGTTTCCGAGACATCCGAAAATTGGGCCTTTGCTGAATTTGATCGGAAATGAGGGGGAAATCCTTACTTTTGAGCTGACTTTTGATATATGCGTCATTTTCTAACATTTGCTCTTGATCCCGACTGGTTTTCGCAGATATTTCCCCAAAACTAGCAAGTCAGCGTCTGTGTTCCTCTACCAGCTGTGGTCTGACAAGGATATCCAAAACCTCCTGAAGAGGGTGAGTTTGCCTCCCTGCTTCCACGCCTCTCACTGGTATTCGTGAGAAACAGCTCTCAGGATTAAGTTCCCAGGAATGCGGCGGCGCAGGTTATAGAGGAGGCTTTCTGCGGCGGTTGCACTGATTTTGTCTTTTTCATTTTTGTCCCACAGCAAGGGATGAACAAGTCGTCGTTTATCAACGACATCACCACGGCGGCCCACAGGTCGATTCAAGTCATCGACTAGGGTGCGGGGCCCCACCTACTTTGTGCGCGGGGACAACCTTTCTCATTTCATTTTGTGTTCTTCAACTCCTTTTAAAAGTGGATTGGTGAGTGAGTGTTTTTAAAAGAAAATGTCAATAAAGTTTTCAGGGGCAAAATCGTCATACATTGACTGATCGTCTCTGGCCTGAGCCTACTGCCAAAACTAAAGGAAAGCACACTTTTGCACTACAATCTCCTTGCTGAGTGCTTAACTTTCGACCTCAGCTTACCTTTATTTGGTGCTTAATACAACAATTGTGTCACTGATTCCATTTATTACGTATTCAATGCAGCAGGCTATCGAGTTTATTTCGATACAGTATACACAATACAGCAAATTGTTCAGTTAATTTCCAAATGATTACGCAAATGACTATTCTCTACAATAGTAATATAACAATAATAATAATAATAAAAATAGCAATGAGGATGATGGTGAAAAAAACAATTGAAATAATTCAATACTAGGCACAAAATGAATTGAGTTGGTTAGTTTATTGGGTAGAAAAGAAAAATAATGAGCAGGTTTATGAAGTACAAAATGCTTTTAACTAGTCAGCTAGGTACCAATATAATAATAATAATTATTATTATTATTATTAAAGTACACAATATGTTAAATCTGTCACTTTATCAGTTACAAAATTATGGGGTACAAAATGCAGTCAGTCAGTCAATTTATATTAACAAGCATCCAACAGCTCAATTTATTTGTTTATTGAACACATAAACAGATAACAGAAATTTGGCAGAAAGTAAAGGGAAGTAAAAAAAAAAACTATTTGATACAAAATGGAGCAAGATAAACCATTTCTAATGAAATGCAATAAACTTAGTCATGTTATCAGGTAGCAGTTGGTCATTTATTAGTATATACAAAAGGCAATTTTCGGAGCCATACGCTGCTCATTGACATTTTCATTGGCTGTCAAGTTGCTTTTGTCTGGCTTGCAGGAAAAAAAGAAAAACAATTCTTTCCACTCTGCACACCTGGTTGATTGCTGAACTTTTGACTTCAGCTTACCTTCTGAGGCGCTGGCAGGCCTCACTGATGTCATTTACAATTTATGAGGCCTTATTTCAAACACATTCAGGCACTCGTAAAAAAAGAACAGCCTGTATGGATGCAGCCTATAAAAAGCATGTTGACCTAATGCTGTGACATATCAGTTGAGACTGTGGTCGGCAGGGGCAAGTGGGCAAGTGCCCCGTTGGGCCCTTCGGATGGCACCGTGTGTCACCCAGTTCAGAATTGCAAATTAGAATCTGTTCTCAATTGCCATATCCGGATAAATTAAGGTTAAATGAATATGCAATTACGCAACATGCAATTAATGAGGCATTATTTGTTCTGTTGGATTAGTAAGTTAATGAGGCCCAAAGTGTAGTGCGATACTTGATTTTTGATTTTTTTCAAATTGGGGTACAAAATCTTGCTCAGTAGTCAGTTCATTAGGTATGAAATTCAAAGAATTGGTTTCATTTTCAAAAGTTGATTGATCAAATACAAAATGCCTCAAAGTAGTCAATATATAAATTGCACTTTAAGTACTAAATGCAGCAGCCGAGTCAATTCATTACGTAAGTCCAGAATAGAACATAGTCGTCCATTTAGTCAATACAACACCCAACAGGTAAGTTACAGTGGAGCAGATATCAAAAGAAAACCTGATTGGCACTCTAGAAACTGGGTGAGGCTAAATTGTAACAATAATAATTAAGAGTAATGACGTTGATGATATATCATTAGAGTCTTTTAGTTCCCACAAGTTAAAGAAACACGCAGACAGAAATGATGTCATTTTGACACTTTTATTCATGCAGGAACTTGACTTGACAGACAATCATGGTGATGATTTATTATTTTTAGAAAGTAAGGCGACCGATGAGGAAACATGAGGACTCTGTGTTGTTGTTACTTCCTCAGGCCTCGCTTGCTCCTGCTGCTCTTTGAACTGACAAACATAGTTAAAATCAGCACAGATCAGCAATGCGTTACCAATTCTGCTTCGCAACAAGTGACCTCACAAATGTGAGGCGACCGGGTGGAAGAAATGGGACGATGCCTTTGACGTACATTGCTGAATATGCTAGCTAACTAACATTTAATGGACAAATTTTATTAATCTTTAAACAAGCATGAATGCATACATTTATTGTTGACTGTCGTTAGCAGTTAGTGGCTAACAACCCGCCGTTGTTTAGCCAAGACTCTTATTTATACCCAGAAGTGACTCAGTGTTAGTTTGTGATTGTAGTTGTACATGAGTGACTACGTACATTGACAGTTGACAACCCGTTGTCATTTTAGTAAAGATTCTTGTGTATTTATAACATTGCCGCCACGGGCTAAGTAGGTGGCTTATCAGCGTTGCGATCCTCAGTCAATTTGTGGCGCAAATTTTTATGCCCCTACCAATTTTGCCTCGCCACAAGTGACATAGCTCACAAAATGTGACGTGATTGTGAAGGAGCTTGCTCGCATTTTATTAATTGGTTTATAATTGTGTTCACACGGAAGTTTAAATGCGTACATTGACTGTTTTCATTAGCAGTAAGCAGCTAACAACTTGCTGTTTTTAGCAAACACACTTGTTCACAACCAACAATGACTCCATGGGTTACGCAAACAATGTATCAATGTTCCAATCTTTGGTAGGTTTGGTGCACACACTTTTTAATGCCGCACCAATTTTACCGAGGAACAAGAGAAGCTGCCAGCTAATTTACTTATTTAATCATTGGTGTGGGATTGTTTCTTATCCAGGAATTTAATGCATAGATTAACAGTTGTTAACAGTTAGCGGCTAAAAACTTGCTGTGTTTTTTTTAGCGAACACTTTGTTCACATCCAACAATGACTCAATGAGCTAAGTAGGTGGTGTATCAGTGGTCTGAGGGGGAGTCTAGCGTGATTTGGATGGCGGTGGGGTCACCAAATGATCATGTTGCACTCAAGATCTCTCAGCTGTTGGACCTCATCCCCTCTGTCCCCCACTTTGGGACCATCCTCGCTATGCTTGTGTTTGTCACACAGTCTCAACTTTTTGTCCCCCTCGTAGCCCCCACTTAGCAGGCTGGCAGCTGATCCTTGCAGCTGCTAAGGGGCTCACTGCCTTGTTAAAACCCCCACACCGTTTATTTGGCATTGAGATTATCAAGTGATCCATTCAGCATCTCTGAATCTTGTTTCATTATTTGTGTGGAAAGCAGGAATATTGATTGACTCTACTTACATTTTCTGATGGTCGCTGACACGGTTCCTCAGCACAGTCACCTGCGTGTGTGCAGTTCCATGTTAGTCACGTCATAAGATGGCAATCTTTAATGTATGAGATGCAAAATTCTGCAGATTTGCCAGTTGATGGTACAAAGAGCTTGTCAGTTATTGTGGTTAAGTAGACATTTTTTGGAGTGCAAATTGTAAAAAAAAAAATGAAATGGTTTACAATCCTGCAAATTAGTCAATTATTGGGTACAAAATCCTGCGAATGGGTCAGTGTGTCAATATGCAACAAAAGCAGCTTTCTAGACAATTAAGTTGTAGCTCATTTGACACTGTAGATGTGGAAAATATACCAAACTGGCAAGTTCAGTTGGACACTAAATGGAGTAAAGTGGTCAGTTCAAAAGTTACAAATGGTGTTCTTATTTACTACAAAATCCACAGTTCACAATTATGTACAGTTCACTTAGTTTGTGTTGCATTTACCTGGGGCTTTAAGAGGGGCGGGGCTGACGCTGACAGGTTACCGTTCGCGTTAAAGTTTAAAAAGCGGCATTGCAGTGTTTTTCATATGAAAATCACTCACTTCGTCGTCAACATGGCCCCAATGGTAAGTTACGTTTGTGTCCGCTTTTCTTTGTCAGATCTGTCGAGTTATCATTTAGATTCAATAATGCTTGCTTGCTTTGTTTGTCTGCTCTGCTTTGTGTCCGTAGCGCTTTGTGTTCGCTGCATCGCAATCACAATTAGTTGCTGTTCGCAGTCGGCAGTTTAAGCAACGTGGGCAAACGTCAAGTCTTGCAATTACAGCGGTGTCTTTGCTAAGTTCTTTTTTTATTGGAGTGTTGCCGTGTCATGTTTGTCTGGCTGTACTGGAAAGTTTGAATGATCATTTTGCGTTACAGCTGGAGTTAATAGTACCGGCGCTCCGCTTTCGGGTTTGACCGCTGGGATTTGTAGTCCTTTTGTTCGGTTCTACTTTTATGGTTTCTTATATTTAGACAATCTTGATGACGTTATAAATGAGTTTGATTACATATAAACTAATTCGGGAAGTAATGATGGCATTTACAATACATCACGTAAAATCATGGGTGATAGATTTATTGTTAAGATGAAGGTATTAAGTTTGACTAATTCATGTCAATTATATACAGTGACATGACGCATGAAGATAGATAATTTATTTTGTTGTATTTATGCGTACTTTTAGGTTATTACCTGCTGTGTGCTTCAATAAATGACCAAAAAAGTACATAGCGAGTAATCCTTCCGTGCTGACTGATGATCCCTACTCCGAGGGCTGTAAAAAAACGTGAATAACTGAACAGTTTGTTTGTTACAGACAATGTACGGGCAATAAATCAATGTCAGTTTAATAAGCCACAAATTGGAGTAGTCTGGATTAGTCGTTTAGTCGGTGCACAATGTTTTCTTAATTTATGAGGGAGAAAACACAGTTTAATTTATTACAATGGTGCCTTAAGATATGGGTTTACGGTAATTTGACCACGCTTATTTCTCAAGTCACCCGTATCTCAAATCGTCTTTTACAAATAAAATTAATGGAGATGCCATTACAGTATTACACTCCTGCTTCCCCCAAGATCAATGAATAAAATAAAAATAAAAATATTTTTTAAGAGAAAATAGCACCTTTTTAAATTGATCAATGGCATAATTAGAATTGGAAATAATAAAACAAATTTGCCGCTCCTTCTGGTGTACCCGCTTGGGGGCATTGTTGGACAAGATCGCACAGAATTAAAAAAAAAAAAAATGACGTGACTATTGTTACAGTGTACAACAGCTCGTATCACAGGGGAAGCTCTCAAGTCGGGTCACTCGTATCTCAAGGCACCAGTGTTGTTACATGTTGCAACATTGTTTACTGGGTATAACATGTAGCAAACTAATCAATGTATCAGGTACAAAATACACGAAGGTACTCCGTTTATAAAGTGCAAAATATTGTGCTGTAATATATTAAAATGTTTGTTTTGTTGACGCACCTCATATTTCTGCTTCGAGTATTTGTACTGAAGTTCAAACTTCTCCGACTCCAGCTGCCGTATCCAATCCATCAATTCTTTGGCCTTTTCCCTGCATAGACACAAACGCACGTACGTTGATCGACTGTTTGATTGACCGATGGGCGAATTGATTTCCACCTGAGTTTGTCCTCCCTCAGGTGCTCAATGTTTAACTCCTTTCGCCTTTCGTTGAGGATCTTCTTCTTCTTCTCTCGCTCCGTTTGTCGCGTGGTTCCCGTCTGTGTCTGGCGAAACCCAACCAAAAATATTAGGAACACCAAATACACATCAGAAATAATGACATTGTGTTACTTTATAGCCGGTAAAGGTCAGATTGCTCAGGATCAACTTCTTCCTGGCGTCATCTTTAGCTTTCTTTTTGGCCTCTTCTTCCTCCTTCCTTGCTTTCTCCTCCTGAGGAAAAAAATAATGCAACGTATTCATGAGTTCATTAAAATGTTTAACTAGTCAGTCATTATTTTTCAGATTGCCATAATTCTGCATAGCACTGATAATATACTTTGTTGTTTGTCGTTGACTCGACGTTATTTCCAAAGCAAACCCCATCGAAGGAAAAAAAAGAAAAGACTCAGACGGCGATGGACTTAACTTACGGCCATTTTGTTCTGTCGTTCTCTTTCCCTCTCCGCTCTGATCTTCATCTGCTCGGCTCTCTCGGACCTGCGCTTTTCCTAAAGAGTCACAAAGGGGAGAAATGGAAGTATTTCGCTTATTGATGATGTCACCTGGAGGCGACAGGGAGCCTCACGATGCGGTCGGTGAGGCTGAGGAGCTCCTCTTCCTCCTTCTTGCGCTTCTCAAAGTGATCCTCAATCAGTGTCTGGAGCTCCGTCAGGTCTTTCTCCATGCGCTTGCGGTGGATGTCCTGAGATGATGCGCATTTGTGACCAGTCAGTCAGTCAATCAATCACTCGTGGCCTTAGAAATGGTGCATTGATTAAATGTCATCATAGAAAAGCCATCAATAATATCAACTCACGTCAAAGTCCACTTTTTCCCCATCTGGGATTTTGGGGGGAGCCATACAGGGAACAAAACCAGGCCTGACCACAAATTATAATCATTACAAAAAATGTGGAATACATAAGAATGTTTTGTAATGACATACTCTATGGAATAAATATCAATCTCTAACAACAAGACATATATTTACAGTACATACAGTCATACCATTTTGAATTATATAATTGAATGAAACATCTCTTACCTTGACTTCCTCTTGGCATCTTTGACATGCAAAAAAAAAAAAAATAAAGATGCAAAAATGTTTAAAAATCATCAATAAAAACACATTGTGCGTGATATTGTGAGCGCTTCTTACCGTCCTCAGACTCGTCCCCATCTAATTAACGTCACAAAAGCATCACAAAAAAACAGTGGTTAACATTTTCATAAGGTGCGGTCCCGCTCTATCTAATGTTTGGAGACATTTCCTCATGCTTGTTAAAGAGTTTGCCAGTCCTGCACATACTGTAATGTTTTCTCTGCATGCGCCATCTGCACGGATCTGCTAAGCTAATGCACAGAATGAATTGTGTCACTTTGATGATGAAGTGCTGCCTGTGCCAGTGAAAATACAATCAAATCTTGATGAGTGCTCGCTTTATGGGGGTGATTTTGTTAAATTTGGTAGTGGTCGTATTGCACAAGCGGCAATCATTTACAGTCTGGACACAAAGCTCGTAAATATTTCCAAAGTCTCCAATAACATTCGGCAAAATTTGTTACTCGTCAGTTTTTTTGAAAATTAGTCTTTAAATGGGGTGGAGAAGTAATTGTTAGTGTTTTTTGAGTACTGGTAAGTAAAAAAAAAAAAAACTTTCACCAGTTAAAGGGAATAAATTATTTTACTTATTTTTTGGTTGAGGGGTTGACACCGCTCTCTTAATGGATATCATTAGGTTGTGCAAGTGTACCTAATGAAGTGGCCTGGTGGATGTCTATCATTTGGAAAAACTGACAGTACAGTTGCCTTTTGCGTGTTAAGTGTTTCACTTTCAAACAAAGAGTTTTTTCCAGTTGATGGGGTGGAAAGACAACAGTCAAAAGACAGCTGAGTGAGAAAAGAAGGAAGCAGCTGCCATGTCGACAAGTGCTGTCAGTGATGATGGAATGAAGGTGTGCGCGCGTGTTTGTTCAGCGCACGCCATTAAAAATAACTCAGGCAACATCGATGCGAAAATAGATAGATGGAGAGTGAGCATTTGCACGAGGCATTTATTTGTTCTGATTTGATATATTTTCAGTTTTTTTAATTGCGTTTAAATGAAAACACAAATACTCTACAAAAAACGCTTTTTACTTGTTTTTCAACAATGAAAATTGTACTCTATAATATTGTAACATTAAGTAAATATTTTTTAAAATGTAAAACGTAAAAAAGAAACAGTTTGTGCATTATTTACCGCCTCACTTCGAGTCATTCTGCTGCTCCTTCTGTTGTGCCGGCTTTGTCCACCAGGGGACAGTATAACGCACTCATGCATGTAATAAGAGATGGCCCAAGTTCGTTTGTCTATTTACCGAGTCACGATGGTCAGTGACTCAATAAGCTGCAGTGATTTTTCTTATTTTTCTTTGTAATAATAATTACTTTTTTGTTTACGTGTAATATGATTTTTGATGAAAATAACAGCTAAATATATTTGCCGATTTATAATTGTCATGCATTTCATAAATGTTTCATAATCTATTCTTCAATGCATCTCATAAAAAGTGAAGAATACTCATCTGCCATATTTTATTGTAAGTACATAAAATTGACACACACACACACACACACACACACACACACACACCGGGTGTTACCATGTTGTGCATGTGACAAGAAATATAAGCTGCAGCAGCGAAACTACCTCCATCTACCCCTTCATCCTCTGCAGCCCCCTCCTCTTCCTCTTCTGTGCAAAGCAAGCATGAAGAGTTAGCAGCAAACAAAGCAGCATGGACATAATTATTTTGTGATGATAACCATAGAGCAGAAAATGGAAGCCTGCCCATGGCGCGCAGTGCAAGTGCACACAGAAACACGTGAGCCGAAAATTCTTGACTGTTCTGCGGCTCTTTGGCTGGTTCACTGCGGCTCCCGGGCTTTCACATGACAAGCATCAAAAACGCGCTGCCATTCAAACAACGGCGCAAGGTACACTAAAATTTACGATATCAGCCTATCATCAATCCCGTTACTTGATTGACATACAGGGCAACCAGTCAGATGGCAAGTGAATTTTGACCTTTATGTCACCGCTCCTGACTGGCTGTTGCTCATCGTGGCGTACGAGTGTGCTTGCATATGCGTGCAAGTGCATAGTTGGGTGCCCGCGTGTGTGCGTGCGTGTGTATATGCGTGCGTGTGCGTGATCGGGTCAATCGCGGGAGGTTGGTCGCGTCAAAAGTTGATCTTCGGTCAAAAAGTTTGGCCACCCCTGCCCTACGTGGCAAGCTGACCCGAGTAGTAAGTAACCGCTGCAGCTTGCCTGCAGACAGTGCCTGCTTTGAGTGGCAACAACACGGCGCAAGGTACACTAAAATTTACGATATCAGCCTATCATCAATCCCGTTACTTGATTGACATACAGGGCAACCAGTCAGATGGCAAGTGAATTTTGACCTTTATGTCACCGCTCCTGAGCAAACAACGGTGCTAAGCTAGTCAGCGAATTACCTCTGATAGTAAGGCAGGGCTGACCAATACATCTATCGCGATTGACCGGGAGCCGCAAGCTGACCCGAGTAGTAAGTAACCGCTGCAGCTTGCCTGCAGACAGTGCCTGCTTTGAGTGGCAACAACAGAATACAAGCCAGATTTGAAGAGGGTTGTTCAAGAGAAGGAATGCCAGAAGTCCCCGCACTAAGTTGGGGGTAATTCTATTGGCGGTTGTTGTCTTTTAACTCAAGGGTGGCCCAGGGAGCAAATAAAGGTGGTGAATGTGCTTTTTCAGAGGAAAGGTCTGGGAAATAGTTCAGGTCGTGTCCTGCAAGAATGAAAATCATCAGGTTGCATGCAGTTGGGCCCTGATTCTTCAAGTTTGGGACGAGCACCACTAGTGGTGGACTGGTTCCCTCCAGTGGCAAGCAAATGTCATTGATTTAAATGTCCCAATTGTGCAGTTTCATTGAGTTTAATTTTTTATTATTATTATTCAGTGCAATAGAATAAGTAAAGTTGTTGCATTTAACTTTTAATTTCAGCTCATATGCAATTAATTTATCTCTATAAAGTAAGAAGAAATACCGTATCTTGTACATTTGGCACACCAAAGAGAAGAATGTTGTAAACAATCTTACCAAATTTGAATGATTAAAGAGATCGCCAAGTACATGAAACGAGGCTTCCAAATCATTAAAAAAATCACGCCACTGTCTCCGCTCTCAAACTCTTTTAGCGTTTCTTCTGATTGCATGTACCACTCTACAGCTATAAAACAAATAATGTATTCACTCAAATCCTCCAGTTGTCAAGGTCTTGCTCGTCAGAAGACCCAAAAACAGGGAAGCAGGTAAGGAAAACCAGGGAGAACATGGAATCCAAAAAGTATCTTTTCAAAAGAGCAAAGCAAGGGAACTGGATTTATCAAAAACATAAAATTTACAAAAGCGCCCCCCCCCCCCAAAAAAAATTCTACAACAGGACTTGACTTGACATGACATGACATGAGATGAGCTGGGGACGTGACGACTAACAGGAATGGACAACCTACAAAGACAGAAAGAAACCAGGGAACAAAATACAAGTAAGCTGAAGAAACAACGAATAACATCTGGACTCGACACGAGTGGCAATGAGCTGATTGGAAGACATGGAAGTAAAAAAAAAAAATTGAACAAGCAAGGAAAATAATGAACCACAAGATAGCAAGACAACATCAGACAAAACAAAAACACATCGTGACATCGATTGCTTGAGTCACCTTGGGGCTTTACACACATTGAGAAGAAATAAATAAAAAAAATAAAAACTCCATCTTTGACAACAACAATGGCGGATAACTCAAGGGTCAAATAAAATTGCAACTTCTAAGTTTGTATCCAACTTCATGAACCACGATGCTTCTAAAGCAGGCAATCCCAAACTGAGAGCCACTTCCTACATGGTGACGATTCTTCACATAAAAAAAAAAAAAAATCCAATTTGTTTAATCTTAATGTTTAAAGCTTGAAATGTGGCAAAAGGTCAAAAAGCGGGCCGTATACTTTCGCAAACCTCTGCGACGCTGCTTTATTTTAATGCTGAAAAGTATGCGACATGGTGGATGAAAACCAAGAGGATGCATCCACTGGGGGATAAAGGTCAGCACGGTGGACAGGCACAGCTGCTTATACAGTGGCAACAGGACAAAAATACAAAAGAGCAAAGAAGCACAGAGAAGCCGGCGGCTTTGCGCGTGGCGCGCTAAGCATCAGGCTTAGGTGCGCAAAGCAGCCATTAAAGTGGCAGGAAAAACAAGCAGCTGACTGGAGGGGTGAGCTTTGCCGCCGCAAAAGCCCCCTGAGGCTGGACAACAAACTACTGCAAATCACTGAGCAGTCGTTTGAACGAATTGTGCGAACACTCTATGTTAAAGCATATGTTGAGAACCATAGATCAGGAAACGGAAGTTGCAAATGTGACATAATGGGGCCATACATAATGGGGCTACAGTAAATGCATGAGACCACTTTACGTTATGCCATTGCACTTTCAGTCGAGTGGTTATTTTTTTGCACCTGTTTGACAATTTAAAAAAACGTGTATCGCTGCACATTTTATTGATGACTCACAGTATGGAACATATTATTATTTACCTAATGTAAATTAAGAATGTATTTTATGTTTCATCTATTTTATTTACAGTTGTAATAGTGTCATTTGTAACATTACCCTAAAATGACATTGAACATTTATATATAAATCTATCAATATATCTATATCTGTTTATCTGTCTGTCTATATATGTGTATGCTGTATGAGAGATAAATATGTACACATATACATAATCTTTATAATTAAATTTCACTGAATAATTAGATTAGCAAATAGACTGCCGCGCACATCCGCCTCACAGTGCAGGGGTCGTGGATTCGAATTCAGCGTTTGCATGTTCTCTCTGTGTCTGTGTGGGTTTTCTCCGGTTACTCCGGTTTCCTCCCACATTCCAAAAACATGCGCGGCAGGTTAATGGAACACTCAAAATTGTCCATAGTTGTGAGTGTGAGCACGAATGAGTGTTCATATTCGTGTGCCCTGCGATTGGCTGGCAACCAGCTCAGGGTGTCCGCCGCCTACTGCCCGATGTCGGCTGGGATAGGCTCCAGCATGTCCGCGACCCTTATGAGGATAAAGCGGTTCAGAAAATGGATGGATGGATGGAAGAATCATTCTATGTACATCCCTTTACATTTTAATGAATAAAATTCACATTTGTTAAATATACAACAAAACATATGATCATCATTGTAAGTCATGAGCCTAATAGCATAATTGTTAAAGTCCTATTTAGCACACTGTCACAATATTAATAAATAAAAAAAATACCATTATGTTGAAAATTGTGTGTATGTCTGTATAGTTATCCAAGTCATGTTAATCCGCAAAAGTTGCTTGGAGGCAACTTGACTCTGAAATGTTTCATGACTTTCTTCATGTTTTCTGCCAATTTTCCAAAATGACTTCAGCAATTATGCTATTAGGGTAAGGACATGCATCATTTTGCATTTACTATGTGTCAATCAACTTACGGTGTTCCCTGCAAGACAACACACACACACACAAAACAATGCATTAGTCACCCATGTCACCAACATGTCATCGCACCGCCATCTTTCAATGTACTCACTCATACGAGGCCTCCTCGCTCTCCCACATATTGCACCACAAAGCACCTGCACCTTTATAAAGACCAAAAAAGTCATTGTATGCCGAAGAAGAATATCACAAAACACAACAACTGCAGACTCACCGGACGCTTCTGGAGATGTGGCGGAGTGTGAAACGTTCCACGCTGTCCCCCCCTCCCCGTAAGCTTTTAAACCGGGCGCCGGATCACATGGCGGCACAATGGCGGCGGACACATACCTGCAAGCAGATGGCGGCAGGCATTGAAATGTACATTCTCACTGGACGTGCTTTGACTATTTTTACACTGCAAAAAACCTGGACATGGGCACTATAAAGGGTCAAGGGGAGATTAGAAGACGGGCTTAGTGAGACGTGTAAACCTACTCCAGTGGGCTCTCAGCCCTCCCCCGGCCCGCTTCTTTGATTTGCAAGAAGACTTTTATTGTGGCCTTGGCTCCTGAATGAGTGCCACGGTTGTGTAATCACCACCAAAAGTAGAGCCATGATCCAATCGTGAGCCGCCTCAATGGACCATCATCAACCTTTGATCAACGCGGAAACACAGCTGCATGCAAGAACCTTTCGCACAGCTTGGAAAAAAATAACTGGATTATTAATTGCATGAATGGCACCGACATTGACGGGTGGGGGCGGGGGGTGAAGTCCACCTGCTTAGTACCAGAGACAAGTGCAGATGGCGCAGCCCCTTTTACACAGTTATGTAGGTTTTCGACACACCATTGTTCATATGCCAGATTTGGTCAGATAAAAACTGATGATGTGACAGCAAAAGCATGGAACTGCTAGACTCTATTTCGTGTTAATTTGATGCACTTTAAAGGGACATGCGGAGGGGTGTGGAACGAGTGCTTCCTTGTGCAATCAAAGTGCCCTTTTGTCTTTTTTTTGTATTTGTTGTTGCATATTGTGCATGTCTCTGTAAGCCTCTTAGTGGCCTTACAACAATACCATTTAATACAATTCAGATTTTAAAACATGAATCAAATGGATTGTAATACAACTAATTAAGCAATTAATAAAGTGAATGAGGGTGGCCCGGTGCTCGAGTGGGTAGTGCGTCGACCTCACAGTACAGAGGTCGTGGGTTCAATCCCAGCTCCGGCCTTCCTGTGTGGAGTTTGCATGTTCTCCCCCTGCCTGCGTGGGTTTTCTCCGGGTGCTCCGGTTTCCTCCCACATTCCAAAAACACTCTAAATTGTCCCTATGTGAGAGTGGGAGCGCGGATGGTTGTTCGTCTCTGTGTGCCCTGCGATTGGCTGGCAACCGGTTCAGGGCTCCTACTGCCCGAAGAAAGCTGGGATAGGCTCCAGCACACTAGTGAGGATAAAGCGGTTCGGAAAAATGGAAAAATTGATCAAGTGAACGACTGGTTAGCACGTCCGCCTCACAGTGCACAGGTCGAAAAAGTGAGTTGCTTTCAAGGTGCATATTGGTCTCCATTGTCAGTAAGTGGAAGCATTTGGGGACCACTAGGAGTATTCCATTACCTGGTCGAGCCGGTTTAAAATGAGAAATTGGAAGAGAAAAGGCCTCAGAGAGGTCTGCTCGAACTCCAACGTTCCTCTGTAGAAAGAGAACCTCACAGAAGAACAATAATCTAAGCATCACGCTGTCGACATTGTGAGTTGACAACACCACCATGTGGTCAAGATGAAAACTGACAAACACTTGGCCGGAATGAAAGTGGTCAAAAAAAAAAAGAAGTGCTCAAAGCCACAATCCTAAAATCGCTACATGCTATGATACATTGACTAGCATTAGTGTGGAAAGACCTACATTTCTTTCAGCATTCCCTGAAGTTTTGTTAAATTTTGAAAAGTCATCCTGAAGACACATGTTAATCTGACAGATTTTATTAAATCCTTACCAAATTTGAATTTGCTGTACTCGACAGATGATCACATTTTTACCAAGAGGTTTTATCATTGTGTGTGGGCTGAACATGTGGCATAATTTGGTGACTGGATATAAAACACAAACTAATACATCCACTCCCAAATACAGCCCTCAAAGCCAGTAACAGCAAAATGACATTTGGGGAGACTTCATGGGTAGAACCACAAAAAAAAAGTTGCAAGGAGCCAGCCTGCTGAAGACAGGGGAACTCTCCAGTTTTGCTCTGAAGTGGCCATTTTCGGCTCATCTTGGCCATTTCCAGAATTCCATTCATGTCAAACGCTTCCCAAAGATTTTGTCTTATTTGGAACAAATTTTAACTGCATATTTTACATTGACATTTGGATCATGCCAAATTGTAATTAATAGTCACTGCGTGAGCGCAGAGCCTGGTTGCAAGATTTGATGATTCATCAATAAACTCGTAAAACTCCATTCCTAGCCTCTGAGGCTAGTTTTATGAAGCAAAATGGAATTTGGTCAGCCTGTCCATCAAAAGTAGTGGTATGAAAAACCTCAGCGATTTTATGGTGATTTAGGCAACGATCAGCGGACATACAAAGTGACACCATGTCCTAGAGATTTAGTCTGACTGCTACGAAAATTTGAACAGTTTACAGTGCCCTCCATAATTATTGGCAACCCTAGATGATATGTATTAAAAGCCGTAAAGCAAATTCAGTTTTTATTACGGAAGCATACTCTCACACTGAAAACTGAAGACAAGATTCACCAGATAAAACAATCCCCAGTACCCAGACTTCAACCCCACTGAAAACCTGTGAACTGATCTTAAGAGGAGAGTGCACAGGAGATGATCCAGGTCACTAGATGATTGTACAAAGAGGAATGGTCAAAGATCCCTTTTTCTGTGTTCTCCCTTTTTGCGAAACATTTTTGAAGAGTAGTTGTTATTGGGGGCGGCCCGGTGGTCCAGTGGTTAGCACGTTGACCTCACAGTGCAGAGGTCCTGGGTTTGATCCCGGCTCCGGCCTTCCTGTGTGGAGTTTGCATGTTCTCCCCGGGCCCGTGTGGGTTTTCTCCGGGTACTCCGGTTTCCTCCCACATTCCAAAAACATGCATGGCAGGCTGATTGAACACTCCAAATTGTCCCTAGGTGTGAGTGTGAGTGCGGATGGTTGTTCGTCTGTGTGTGCCCTGCGATTGGCTGGCAACCGGTTCAGGGTGTCCCCCGCCGACTGCCCGAAGACGGCTGGGATAGGCTCCAGCATCCCCCGCGACCCTTGTGAGGATAAGCGGATTGGAAAATGGATGGATGGATGGACAGTTGTTATTGGGAAAAGTATGAACATAAGGGTTGCAACTCTATATTGTATAAAACTCACATTTGTCATTGTGTGTGGGTGGAGCATGGCAGTGACATTGAATGCCTTGCCATTAAACACAAAAGCCAAGCTCAGTTTGTGCTGCGTGTTTATTGGGTAGGCAATGAAAGAGACCACACTGACATAAGCTCAGTGAGTGTTTCTGTATTGCCTTCTGTTGAACTGAAATGAATGGAGAGGGTTTATTCTGTTCCAAGATCTACTGGGGAGGACCCTGGGCATCAAACATCTTTTTGCGGCCTTCCATGCCCGACATGGCCTCCACGTTCTTCCTCCAGTCGCTCACCTCCGCTGTCTTCTCCTGAACAAGACACAGTCAGCTGGGGGGATTTTTTTTTTTTTTTTTTTTGCATTGCTATTCTTGCACACTGACCTTCTCCGTGTCTTCCTTTTTGACCGACTTGAGGTTGGCTCGCAGGTCCAGGGACACTTTGTGCTTTGAGCCCAGCAGCGAGCGCAGGATGGCGTCGGCGGAGACCCTCACCCGCCGAAGGTTGGGTCGCTTGAACTTCCCCCGTAGGTCCACAACCTTGATGTTCAGGTCTTTGATCTAAACCACACGGCAGAAGAACTGTGAACAAACGGATCACTATCGACATCGTCTGTGTGGCGTTTACCTCTCTGGTGTTGTGCATGACTTTGGCTTCGATGTCGTATCGTTCCTCATCCACCACGTCGATTTTGGAGTGGAGTTCTTCGCATAGCTTCTACAAAGACATTACAAGGATGTCACTGCCTGAATACACAAATGGCAATTTCAAGGGCCTTTTACATTTCGTCTGGATTTTGTCTATATTACTATCACATTAGGGTATTAAGCAGGGGTGTGACATGACACAAAATTTCCATGAACATCAATTTTCGTCTTTGGGTTCGGGTGGCGCATGGCGACAAAATTTGTGGCACGGTGGCAAAATTTGCAGACTCTCGATAAAACTTCTAACTTCATAACTTCACCCCAAAGTGCAGCTCCTGGAGCCAGATTCACTTGAAATGTGTTTGTTTGTTTTGACACGTCTATCGTGACAAGATGTCCAAAAAAAGTCTCAATAAGCCATGCCACCAAAAGACAGAGGCAGTCTGCCCTTTTGCTTGCTCATTTTGGCCATTTATAGCCATTGACAGTTCATGTCAATCTCTTCCTGAAGATGTTATCTGATTGGCACCAAATTTGAAACAGGTTCACAAGACAGAAGGACAAGGCGATTTTTGATAACTTGCCATAAAATGCAAAACTATCATAAGACCGCTCTTGAAATCCAGCCCCCAAACTCAGCCTCGTTTATCATGAGTAGACTCACCAAAAAAAAAAAAAAAAAAAAAAAAAAAACGTCTCAAGAAGCCAAGCCTGTAAAGACACTGGAAGTCTGCCGTTTGAAGCTGGCATTCCACAGTGATGTGGGACATTTCCAAGGTTTCTGCCGAAAATAGAACTGGCCCTCGATTTTATCAAAATGCTTGAAAACTTGAACCATGCATTCTATTCAAACGGGTCATGGAAGCTTGGCAAGAGTTGGAGTTTTCATCGTTGTGTGTGGGCACAGCAGGAGGCGTCTCGTAAAATAAAACAAAAAATAGTCATGCCACTCCAAAATTCAGCCCCTGAAGCCAATTTAAACTTCGGAACTTGTTCGACATGTCTAACATGATTAGTGGCAGAAAATAATCTCCAGAACCCACGTTGCAGAAGGTGCAAAAATTTATTTTGCTTTGCTGCTGCAATTTTAGGCTCATTTTGGCCGTTTCCAGGATTCCTTGAAATTCAAATTTGTCTTTGAGATTTCATTGGATCGCTTCCAAACTTTAACCACGAATAAATACTAGCAGATGGGCGATGCAAAATTGTCATGAATTTAAGTTGTAGAAAACAATCTCAAGAACAAAAGACACTGTCGTTTGGGCTATTTCTAAGCTTGTCCTGGAAATATTGTGTGATTGCTACCAAATTTTAAACAAAACTATAGGGATGGACAACCCAAACTTGTCAAGAATTTAACATTTCTAAAGACCAAACTAAAATCAACGGAAAAGCGGCATCTTGACGTCTTTGTACCTGCAGCTCCTCCAAGCTCATTGAGTTGATGTTTAACGGGGGTGCTTTTTCCTCCAGGTACTTTTCCTTCTGCTTCTCTTTCTCCACCAGCTCCTGTTCTAGATCCTCTTTGGCCTTGGCCACCATCAAACTCTGCAGCACAACAACTCCAACTGAAATACTTGACTTCTTTCGTATTCGTGCACACGCGATTGAAGCCTCACCTTCAGCATGAGCTTGCGAGAAGCTGAGATTTTAGATTTCTTCTGCAGAAATCAAGAAAGGTGCATGCGTCACAAGCGAACCGGCGCGGTTGAACATGTTGAACGCGGCTTTGAAAGTCTTACCTCGGGCCTATAATGGAAGCATTGGAAACAAACAACGGCATTAGTGTCATGGCAGAGATTCTGTTTCCTAATCAGGATCTAAAAATAAACACAGATGAGAGACGCCAAACACAACACTTACACTTTCTCCGGCATCTTGACTATCTGAGTTGACCCTGAAAGACAAAAATAACACCTTTTGGGGGCCCCCCAAAGGATCTTAATACACTTTCCACTTCAGAAACATTCCACCGCATTGATGCGCGTCTGGCTTTTCCCAGAATGGAAATGTCCCCCCCCCCCACAGCGAGTATTTATTGAATTACTCACATGTGGATCTTAGCGTACGTGCGATTCCATTGTTGTTGTTTTTTATGCGTATGCTTAGCTCGCATTAGTGTGTGTTAGTTGTAAAAAAGGCTTGCTGGGTAACATCAAGCTGTCAACTGACCCACCATCCCTGGAACACCCCCTGTTGTAGTGCTCATTGCATTCTTGCCTTAGCCAAAAACAGCCAAGTGATGGCAGACATGACACAACAACATTGGAGCAGTTACTGACAATTTTAAACAATATTCCTTCTTCCAGGAATGCTTCAACCTTCCTAAAAAGTCAGTCAACGCAGACATTAGATGACAAATCGAACTCAATCACCATCGACTTAATGATAAATACGTTGAGCCAATCCCGAACTCCATTGTCACAATGAAATGGAACAAGCAAAATGTTTGAAGTTTTTTTGAATAAAGTATTTGAAGACTAACAAACATTCTTAATCAAATGTCCTGTTAAAGTGACCCAAGGAATGTATTATTTCAAGCACAAAAGAGTGTTTTTTTTTTAGCCCTTACATACCTCTTTTGGAAGATGAAGTGACACACAGCAAGTGATGCGTGGAAGAAGAACAGACGGGATATTTATCCCACACCCGCCTTTGTCCCTCCTCTTTCGCTCGATTTGAATGCACAGGCGCGCGCGCGCACACACACACACACACACACACACACACACACGACTTCCATCAACAATAAAACAGGCGGCAGTGATGGGGGTACTGGATCTTTATTTTGCATCTCACCAAGCTGGCGTTCAAGTGGCAGCAATGTCAAAATCCATAAAATTCAAGTGTGCTTGTATGTGGCGATTGACCTCTTTATGTTTGCTCTGATTCTTCTCATACACATGCTGGCAGTGAAGTTCGTTACTTTGAAAGAAATAGCGATATCATGGGTTATTTTTTCAAAACTCTTTGTTTATTATTCTTTGCTTTGTGTGTAGTGATGAGAAAATGAAGCTTCAAGATGCATCATGAAGCAGTTGCGTTTATTTACACCTCTAGCTAGCACTCCCTGTTCAACATCTGGCGAAAAGTACAACCCACTCTGCATTTCTGAAACCCATTTCTTTTCACCAACAGTGCCATCTAGAGGAATCAAAAATAGAAAACAACTGGCTCATGAAACATCTTGAAGCATCATTTTCCCATCACTACTTATTTGTTAGCAGAGGTTCTACAGGTTCATTGCGACTGGTCCGTTTCTAAAAAGTGAGTATTCAGGTCACTTTGAACAAAGAAAGAAAAGAATATTAATGATATGAAAAAAATAGTCATACTATCAAGAGGGTTGTAATCTTCTGAGAAAAAAAGTCAACGTTTTAATCGTAATAACTACAGTACTTTACAATCTTACAAAAATGACACTTAAGTGCATGTTTCACAAACAATTGTGTTGGCCTATGTTGTGAAAAAAGAAGCAATAAAACATATTTTCCCCAAAGTATTGCACTTGAAAAAGATACATCTTTTAAATATTATAGCTCCCTCCAAATGATTTTTTTTAGATGACTATTTTTCTCATTGTGATTTTCTTCCCCTCTTAAATGTGTCCTTTCATTTTACGCACAATGTTGTCTCTTGAAACATTTTTTTTGTCAAAACATTTTTTCTCTCAGAACGTTAAAATTTGTTTTTCATGTAATGTTTTGTTTTCTGTTCATTCTGCAGCAAACAGTCTACTTAACACCCACGTAAACCCTTAAGCAGCAAAACTGCACCAAGCAACAATTGCACTATGCCTTTAACTATTTTCAAATGACAACCTTTCGAAATGGTGATACTGTATATCAAAACTGAATATTTTAATGAAAAAACTCTGGTGTCTGAAGGGTTAAGGTGTGCGTTTTAAGGGTTTAACTAAAAACAAAACTGTAACATGACTTCATTATTTACACGAACATTTACAATTTTTGGAAACACTTGTGACTGTCAAAAATGTGCTTTGTTTTTAGTGTAGCTGTATGATGTATGATGTAGCGTGATGAACGGAAAGAAGCAGCTTAGTTGATGATGTAGACAAACTGAACTTCACTGGGAATGAGCCAGAGCTCCTGCACCCTGACCATAACCAAAACCCTTGGGTCCGAAGTTCTTGGCGTAGCAACCTGTGAACACATAGCAGGCCAATAATGCAGAGCGATTCAAATCCTTGACTGACACATATAAGGCTCGTTTACACCGGGGGAGTTTGCTTAGTTTGTTTCTTTGTATTCAAGTCTTTTATTTTTATCTCGGTCTTTCACGGTATCGGTGATGGGCCATTTTGGGGGGGCTGCAGAGTCCCAGAGGCTCAAAGGCATGTTAAGGTTGCCATGTGTGTTGCCTCCTGTTCTGAGGGGCCCAAGTTCTGATGGGCCCAACTCCAGTGGGCGTCAGCATGGGGGACACATATTTTGATGACCAGCTTATAAGCAAATCCATTACTCAATCTCTTACTCACTATTGTACCGTTACTATGACTGTAGTTCTAGTAGTGGAAGCGCTGCGTTTGCCAAAATCTCCAAAGATTGGGCCGGGAATGCCTTAATACCTTTACAGAAGATCTCGCCATCTCTGTCTGCGACAGTGGTGGACTCCAGTCCTTTGCCGCATTTGGCGCAACGGAAGCAACCTTTATGCCATGACTTGCGAGAGAAAGAAATTGTCAAATCTTGAACAGAACATTTTAATTGTCATAAAATATAAGAGATTTTTCTTACATTACCGCCCCCGATAACCTTCTCCGCCGCGTAGACGGTTTTGCCACAGCGTGGACAAATATCGGAGGCGCCAGCTTTCTTGGCGAACTTGGAGGCGTTGGGGTTGTTGGTGGGATGATGCGGAGTTTCTCTGTCAAGAAAATATTAGGTAATATTACGAGAATAGTCCAAAACTTACTTTGATTTAACTTTTGTGATATTATGACTCTCTGTCATGAAATTGTTGAAATAATCCAATTTTATGCTCCTAAAATGACAGTCTGTCAGACATGTTATGATTTTTAATTTTTTTTACTTTTACAATGAAATTTTAGCAGAACTTTTTTCCATATAAGATCAGATTTTCACTGTAATGCTTTTTCTGATATAATTAGTCGTCTGTGGGGTGTAACCTTTATTCACGTTATAATTGTAATCTCGTAAAATTGAGACATTTCTTTGAATCTTACCACTTCATTGTTTTTTGCATTTTCTCTCTTAATATTATGACTTTATTATAAGGAAGTTAAGATAAATTAAGATTCTACCCTTCTATTACAAAAAATATCTTCTTATTTCCAATTTTTTCTGCTGTTAGGGCTTTACTATGTGACACCTCTTTTGACTTCTAAAAGGATGCTGTGTTTTATGGTTTTATTCATTGCACAAAAACAATAATACATACAATGCATTTAGGTTTCATCTTACACTGGAGGCGTAATTCCAAGCCCCTCTCCGGTGTCCATGCTGAGGGTCCCCGCTCCTCCGCCGAAGCCGTAACCTTTTGGACCGTACTTTTTGCCGTAGCATGACTTGCAGTAGATCTCGTCTGCGTGCACGGCCACAGTTGTGCTGTCCAGGTTCTTCTTGCACACCACTTGCAATGAGAGGGTCGTTAAAATGTTTTAAAGACTGTATCTGACACTGAAGGTCCAAGTGTCAGATTCCGATTTAAAGCCTATTTCCAATTGACCCATTGCAGCCAAGTCACGTGATCACGTGAGTGCATTGGACGTACGGCAAAAGTTAATGACGACCGAATTGAAGTGGACGGAAAACGGAGCGATTGAAGGACTGTATCAGTTAATTTTGCCCATCTAGCCATGACATCCACCACTTCCACTGCTGCGTGCTGTGTTCATGCAAACGACCTTTATCATTATGTTTTCAATGGTGTATCCTCTTACACTGGAGCTTATTTAAAAGCTTCTGTAAGTCTGGACACCGAGCAGTTTTTTGTGGCTGGCTGGACGAGATGCTATGGTCACTCCGGGGGGAGTAATGGCGAAGGTAAAATTTGCTTATGATGCTAAATGACTTTTTAAAATGTATGTTTTTTTTTTTTACATATTCTGTACTAGGTTCACGCAAAGCAACATGGGAAATGTAATGATTCTGAGTAAAATATATGAACAATGATCTACTAACCGTGTAAAAAAACAAAACACGATGCTGCAAATCATCATATATTTTGAGGGCTGCCAGTTCTTTCGGTTGATTGCTGATATCCGTTCTCATAACAGTAAATTTTCATAAAATTGCACTTTTCCCCCCCGTCATGCACCATTATGACAATTGTTCTTGCAACATTGGCTTTTTGTCTTATATTTTGACGTTTTCTCTCATAACATTTCCCTCAAAACTTTGTGCTTGAAAGAATGGGATTTAAAATTCATTATTGTTCAGAGTGGCCTTCATAATCCATCGAACGACCAAATGGTTTCTCGCTGGATTTCGATGACATCAAGCTGGAACTGATACGTGATATCTGATCTGTGGGTTTACACTCAAATCGTCAGATATCTGATATGTACTGGATTTTTGGACGAGGCCATCTTGATTCCAATCATTTTCCTTCTCTTTATGTTGCTTGACGAATATCCCAATTATGCCACAAAATGAATTGTGTCACTGAACCCAAGCTGTGTAAGCCCAGCCTACATCACTGTAAACGGCTCCTGGCATTATAAAATAAAACAACTGTGTGTCATAGATAAACACTATGCTCGAGGGTGAGCGTGTGCGCCTTACCCATCCATAAAAGGACAACTTTGTCACATGTTTCCAGCACATCCATATAAGGCGCCGATGTGTCAACGCACAAATTTGCTTGCCAGAATCCTCTGCATTCCACACTGACATTTGACAGTTCTCATCTTTGAGTAGATGGACTTACTGCACAGGAAACAGGATTTATGCCAGCTCTTTCCTTCGCATTGCACTTCCTCTGCAAAGTAGACAGTTTTCTGGCAGCAGCCACACTTGTTCCCTCCTCCGAAAGGCATCCTATGTACATGCAAGTTAAACATTCAGTGGGTGTCTCGGTGCAACCACAGAATACCTTCACGTGGAAAAGAAAAAGTTTCGAAGTGGAAATATGCAAAAGAAGTCTCTGAACAGAGCCCGAATACGCTCGGAAAACTCACAGCCGCTCAACCTGGCAGAATGTCAATGGCCTAAATCTACTGCATCGGTCTTTGTAAACAGGACATTCCTTTGCGGCAACATCAGTTGACGATAACGTTTTCCTGTCTTTGAAGAGCATTTTAAAAGAAGTGCAGAATTAAAACCACACTTTGTTACCCTCTGTTACTTCCAAGGGGCAAATTTACTTCGAACAAATGCCTTGATAAACACCACTCACAGAAAAAAAAAAAAAAAACATAACTGTAGTGTGAACTTTTCACATTTTCCATGAATTTCACCTGAAAGCCAAATATCCCTACATTTGTGTGAGTAGTGTATTTTAAGATAAAAAACAAAAACAAAACCTACCTGCATGAATGTAGTCTCTCTGGTGGTTCACGTCCAGTCAGAATATCCACTGTGATGATTAGGGCAAAGAGTGAGCAGCTCACAGCACACTGATGTGATCAGAGGGAGGAGTTAGATGAGCGTGTGCGTGTGTGTGTGTCTTAAGCAGGGAAACACTTCTCGCTATCCACCTCGCCCATCTCTTCCTGGGTCATCCCAAGGTCTCTCCTGCAAGTCCTGGGTCGTCCATGGAGCCTCCTCTCAGAAGCACGTATCCGGAACAGCTCACCAGGGAGGTGTCCAGGAGGGATACAAACAAGGTCCTCGAGCCAACTCATCTGTCTACTCTCAATGCGGAAGAGCAGCAGCTCTAATCTGAGCCCCTCTTTGATGACCAAGCTTCTCACCTTATCTCTTAGGGAAATCTGCCAAAGAATCTAATTTTGGTCACGATCCGGGATCTTGTTCTCTTGGTTACGAGCCAGAGCCCGCAACTATGGGTCATGGTAGGAACATAAATCAAGAGCAAGAGCTTCACCTTTGAGCTCAGCTCCTTCTTCACCACTGCTTGTCAACCTCCTGCTCCGTTCTTCCCTCACTTGTGAACAAGACCCTAATGTACTTGAAGTCCTCCACTTGGGGCAAGATCTCAATCATCAGATTTGCAGTACTGATTCTCATCCCAACTGCTTCACACTTGGCTGCGAATCGTTCCGGTGAGAGATCCCGGATGAATGGAGTCCAACAGCACCACATCATCTGTAAAAAGCCGAAATGTAAAACCGTGGTCACAAAACTGGACCACTCAACATCTTGGTTGCATCTTGGCTAGAAATTACTCAAGGTTATGATCTGAATTGATGACAAAGGGCAGGCTTGGTGAAGTCCAACCCTCATTGAATATAAATCTGACCTAGTGCCGGCAACCCTGAAACAGCTCAAACAGGGAACAGGCTGTACTAGTGCGTCCGGTACCCCGTACTCCCAAAGAACCCCCAAAAGATTCCCAGGAACACAGTCAAATGCCTTCTTCATGTCCACAAAGCACATCTAGACAGGTTGGGCGAACTCGCATGCACCCCGAGGGTTGCTTTCATGACAGGCACCGACTACTTTATGGCTGCCACCTCAACAATGAATGCACAGAACAATGTCCACTCGGACTCAATTTACCCCCGCCTTCTCTGGGGAATGGGTGAAATTCTGCCATAGGTGAAACTTGAAGCTGCTTCTGTCAGGGGACTGCCAGACGTTCCCAGCAGACCCTGACAACATGGCCGTGTCTCCCAGGACCCATAAGCATGTTCCCACCCTTCAGAGCCAACACACTACCAAATGATAATTGGTTGACAGCTCCGCCCGTCTCTTTACCGAGTGTTCAAGAAATGCAGCCGCAAGTCAGATGGCACGAGTACAAAGTCAAACATCAAGCTGCGGCCTAAAGTATCCTGGTGCCAAGTGCACAGGTGGACATCCCTATGTCTGAAAAGGTGTTCGTTAATGTCTAATTGATAACCCTGACAGTTATCAACAGTCCATGATGACCACAGAAGCCCAAACACAGAACACTGCTCGGGTTCTGATCGATGGGGCCGCTGCTCCTAACCACGCCTTTCCAAGTCTTACTGTCATTGCCCACCTGAGAATTGAAGTCCCCCAACAGAGTGAAGGAGTTGCCAGAGGGACCATTATCCAGGACACCCTCCAAGGACTCTAAACTCTAGAGTGGACTGGTACCAGAGCTCGAACCATCTGTCAAGGTGAGGCCGATTAGATCGAGTCGGAACTACTCAATCTTGCCCACCACCTTGGACTCCTTCCCCGCTAGAGACGTGCGGGATTCGGACTGCTAATGTCCCTGCTTTCAGCCGCCGCCGCCAATCTATTATGCAGCTGACCTTCTTGCCCCGACCCACAGGTGGTGAACCCATGGGAAGGGGGACCCATGTTGCCTCTTGCTTCTGTCAGGGGACTGCCAGACGTTCCCAGCAGACCCTGACAACATGGCCGTGTCTCCCAGGACCCATAAGCATGTTCCCACCCTTCAGAGCCAACACACTACCAAATGATAATTGGTTGACAGCTCCGCCCGTCTCTTTACCGAGTGTTCAAGAAATGCAGCCGCAAGTCAGATGGCACGAGTACAAAGTCAAACATCAAGCTGCGGCCTAAAGTATCCTGGTGCCAAGTGCACAGGTGGACATCCCTATGTCTGAAAAGGTGTTCGTTAATGTCTAATTGATAACCCTGACAGTTATCAACAGTCCATGATGACCACAGAAGCCCAAACACAGAACACTGCTCGGGTTCTGATCGATGGGGCCGCTGCTCCTAACCACGCCTTTCCAAGTCTTACTGTCATTGCCCACCTGAGAATTGAAGTCCCCCAACAGAGTGAAGGAGTTGCCAGAGGGACCATTATCCAGGACACCCTCCAAGGACTCTAAACTCTAGAGTGGACTGGTACCAGAGCTCGAACCATCTGTCAAGGTGAGGCCGATTAGATCGAGTCGGAACTACTCAATCTTGCCCACCACCTTGGACTCCTTCCCCGCTAGAGACGTGCGGGATTCGGACTGCTAATGTCCCTGCTTTCAGCCGCCGCCGCCAATCTATTATGCAGCTGACCTTCTTGCCCCGACCCACAGGTGGTGAACCCATGGGAAGGGGGACCCATGTTGCCTCTTTGGGCTGTGCCTGGCAAGACCCCATGGGTTTAGGCCTGGCCACCAAGCGCTCGGCAACGAACCCAATCTCCAGGCCTAGCTCTAGAAGGATGCCCTGGTGACCCGCATCTGGGTGGGGGAAATCAAGATTTCAATCATCATAGCGGGTCTAAGAGCTTTACTTGCCTGGTCACTCACCGAGGATCTTTGCCATAGGGGACCCTGCCATGGTCACACAGCCCCAGACGCCTTAACTCCTAGAATTATTGGAACACACAAACCTCGACCAAGTTAAGGTGACAGCTTAAGGAGGTGCTTGGTCAACTTCTCTCCACTCTCAGACTGCCAGTTTAAAAAGTGAGACCGTGGATTTAGGTGCTCGGAGCATTTTAGGGTCTCAAAGACTGTGAGATATTATAAAACGTTTGGAACAATCCAGATAAAACAAGTGAAGGTTCGCTGCAATATGTTCTTGAAAAGCTTACCCTCCTCTTTCATTAGTTAATTTGTAACATGACCACTTTTCTCTCTCGTGACATAGCCACTTCTTGAAACGTGTTGACGTTTTTTCTTTAAAGTTACGACTTCTCTCAACATTGTGATTTTTCTTCGAGTAATATTTCGGATTTTCTCTCATAAGATTATAACTTTTCTCTCTTATAACATAATTTTTTTTTCTAGATTCTGTCCCCTTATTTTGCAGCTATAGAACAGCTTCCACTCTTTGAGGAAGACTTGCTACAAGATGTTGGCGCAAGTGATGTTACCCGCCTGTGTCGTCCTCCCTCTCGCTTCAAACATCACACGAAGAGACAACGACAACAAACTCAAGACATCTATTTATAGCCAGCCTTTCGGACAGCGCTCACCCTCGCTTTGGCGCTGCATGGACTCATCTATGAAATAGGGGAGGGACAGAGAGAGACAGAGACAGCGAGAGAGAAGCAAGTGACAGGCGCTTGGTGGATTAATCCGGAGGAAGAGGAAGACGATGGGAGGCAAGGCATGATAAAAGGCAGCCGGCACAAGGAGGTTGCGGCGTTCAGCAGCTTCTCTCCTGCGTGCGACTCGACCGGAAGATAGGACAAGATAAGGGAGGAAGAGGTGAGCTGACTGAATCCGACTGCTTGACATTTTTATTGTTTTCCTCATTTCCATATTTAACCTTCAAAAATTCAGCCTTTTCCAAAGATGATGACGCTTAGTTTTGTTATATTTCGAGGCTTTTTGGCAGGCAGGAACATAAACAGTCACTAATAATCTTTTTATGTTTTTAAATGTTTTAATATTTTAACCTATATATTACAGTTGCCACGCATTTTAATTACTGTCATCTTTATTTTTTCAATGATTTTTAGAAATAGCTTTTGCCCTCAAACACCAGAACAGCCCGCTATACTGTATGTGATCAAACTCATACCTTACAAAATTCAGTGACAATTATACACCCGATAGCACACATCGCCTAATACATAAAAACACAACTTAAAATTTTAAAATGTCCTCTTTTTTTCTGTCTTCACAATAGAAAGGGTCACCAACATGCTCCCTACAGGGCTGGCCTGTTCTACAAACAGGTCACTAGTGGTAGGAAATTGTGATTTCCGAGGAATGTTTTCGAATCAATCATTTGTAAGCACGTACAGAGATTTATAGATATAAAATGTTGCTTTTTGATGTTTGACTCCAACGGTGTTAAATCATTATTGATAATGAGAGAGTATCAATATGATCAATGTCATCACATTAAGGAATAGCATTCATTATTAATAAAAAAAAAAAATCATTAAGGCGATTTGAGAAAATGTTCTTTTTCAGTAATGTGTATCCAATTGATAGCCCTATACATTACTCAGTCGGCTCTCACTTTCAAAAAGGTTGGTGACCCTGATCCACATCAAGTTTGGTTGCCTGTGATTGGAAATGATGATGTGTTGCTGAAACCTCAAAGGTGGGCTTGGTTGTGGAGAGATGCAGTTCCACCTCTGTGACACTAGAGGGCACCAGGCAACAGACTTAGTGACACACCCTGACTGTGCATGCTTGCGCGTGTGTGTGTGCGTGCGTGCGTGCTTAAGCCAAAGTAGGACGTGCAAGCAGCAGAGTGTGACCCGCACAGTTACTAATTAGATGATAACGATAAGAACAACTGAAGAGAGAGAGGAAGTTGGTTATCAGTCAGTGCTGTCATCTTCTTATACCTGCCATGTGCTGCTTTATCTGAGCAGCAGCTCTTATTAACTTGTGATTGTGTTCACGGGCTTGGGATGTAATATGACAGATAAGAATTAGGATGTGTCAAGGTCAAGCTCTGTCTGTGCTGCGCGTGTATACTGTGGTCATTTAACTGTACATGCTGCTATACCCTAGTGAGGATAAGTGATTTATGGATTGACGGACAGATGGATTGATATAATCCTCTTTACTTATTGCTTGACAGTTAGTCAATAGAACGATGAATGTTGGCAAAAGTCTATCCACAAGAAATGCAATTTTCTCCAATGTGCAAGACAGCCCAACAAAAAGGTGCCAATGCACCTCCCGCCATCTTCACACCAATGTACATGTTGCCACATGACTCGCGGCCAATGTTAAATTTGGTCTTGATCCATCCGTCTTCGAATAAATTGTAATATTTGCAAACTCCCAACACATTGATGAGCATGCTTGGCCTCTTATTCTTGATTTTGGAAACATGTTTAAATTTTATTTTTTTCATTTAAAAATTTTTAATTTTTTTATTTTTATTTTAAGTTAGTTATCATTTTTTGAGTTTTTGTGTTTGTGTGTGTGTGTGTGTGTGTGCGCGTGTGTATGTATGTATATCCATCAATACATACATTTTCCGAACCACTTTATCCTCACAAGGGTCGTGGGAGGTGCTGGAGCCTATCCCAGCTGTCTTTGGGCAGTAGGCGGGGATACCCTGAACCGGTTGCCAGCCAATCACAGGGCACACACAGACGAACAACCATCCATGCTCACACTCACACCTAGGGACAATTTGTAGTGTTCAATCAGCCTGTCATGAATGTTTTTGGAATACGGGAGGAAACTTTGTGGATGCACTATGTGGATGACGCGCTCAACACTGGACCACACATATATATACTGTATATACACACAATAAAACATTCACTATAGTATAATATGCTTTAAAATTTTTATTTCATTACAATTTATTTGAAGGAAATGTCCACGGAGTTACGATGTCTATATACAGTATAATGTTTAGCCCATGAGGGTGGTGCAGAGGGAGCCCGAGCTCCAAAACATGCCGTGACAATTAAAATCAGCCCAGTTGAACGGTTCCGGCTGTGAGCAAGAGACTGGGCCAAGCCGTTGTGCGGCAGATGGACAATTGGCTAAAATTAGGAACCTTTTCACCAGGTGCTACTTTTAGCTCTTGGAGGGAGCGCTGCAGTTAGTCTGGTTTGGCATTTATAGAGAGGGCGCTGACCGTGACGGCGGAGGATGCGACTGGAGCGTGATTATGCAAGCGGGGAGGGGAACACCCAACCCCGAGGCGACTGAAGGATGTTCCGCCCGGGGTGGAAAGAAAGACTTGTCAGGAGGATGCTTCATGATCACGCCAGTATCCACCATTTGAGAGCTTCTACGGTAAGTTCTTATCCTCGCCTGCAACTTCTTCGGATGGCAGTCATTAAGTGTGTAATTGGATGCAGAGGCATGTCCCGTAATGCACTTCTATCGTATGAAGATGTCTGCTGACTATTATAGCCCGAGTGAGCTTCTCCAGGCGCTTTTCACTGCTTTGTTTGCTACGGTATGTTCTAGAAGGGCATCAGTCAAGCGTTGTTGACTCGAGAGCAAGAGACGCCACACAAGCTGCTTTTTCAGTGTAAGCATGACACATTATGCATCTATCCATCCTTTTTTTTTCTTTTAAATACCCGTTGTCCTATTTAGGGTCCTGGGTGAGCTGAAGCCTATCCCAGCTGAGTTCTGACAAGAGGCAGGGAACACCCTGGAACAGACATCAACCTATAGCTAGGCACTTATAGGCAAACAACGATTTAAAACAAAGGGCAGTTTTCTGCCTTTAATGAATTTAACATGCATGCAGAAAACCAACGCAAGTGCCGGGAGAACAGGCAAACTCCACTCATGGAGTCCGAATCCAAGATTTGAACACCAAACCATGTTAGTGTGAGGCAGATGGGTCCAACCAATGTGTCTGAAGAACATGTTTGTTTCATTGAAATACCCCAAGGAGTATGAATGACACGACCTGACACTCTAGTTCTTCACTTGAGCATTCATTGCATGGCATCTTGCCGGCAAGTATATGCGTAACATTGGTTATGATATAAATTAGCCCCGCTGTGACGTATCAGAAACGTTTCCTCCTCGTGCAACACTGCATCACTGCTGATTGCAGCATTCTTAATTTTACAAAACACCATTGTGTACGGTTTCCAGACTTGCTTTTGTTAGATCCTTGTGAGAAACTTTTGAGTTCGCAACTCGTTCGCATCACAAGTGCAGCAGCAGCAGTGTTGTATTCAACCTGAATCGACTGCAGATTTATTATTTCTTTTTGTTGCTGTTGTTTGTTTGTCTTTTTTAACTTGGCTGCAGAAGACGGCAGATGATAAGTCAAACCCGATCCAGTTGGATCAACATGATATGAGACCATCACAAATGGAATCCAACAAAAACCTTCCACAACATCGTACATCATCAATCTCTTAAAGCAACACCCAACAACAGAAACAAATGAACAACAGCCCACATTTCTTTTTGTCAACACTTTGACTGGGCTGTGTGTGTGTGTGTGTGTGTGTGTGTGTGTGTGTGTG